ACACATAACGGAGTAAATAAACATGTCTTGTTTGTTCATCTTCATAGCCTTGCTTCTGAGTTGTTGTATTGGATCGTTGACAGCCACTGATACAACTTGTGGTAACAAAGTCGTGAGCACAATCGTCGTCGACCAAACAGGTTTCGGAAATTTCCGTACGGTTCAAGCCGCAATTGATTCGGTTGGTGAAGAGAATTCTCTTTGGATCAAAATCAGAGTAAAACGAGGTGTTTACATGTAAGTGAAGACTAGCTCACTGCTATTTTCTAGCGTTTGGTTTTTATTTTTTTGAAGAAAATTCTTTTTGGGTGTAAAAATATAATGACATAATAATTAGGCCTCTCCTCAATTCTACATATACACTCTTTACCTAAAGAAAACAACTCTAATGCAATATGAGATTAAAGCAAGTTGAATATAAATGATTCTTCTGAAATTTTCTGTTGTTTATGCTTTATAACGTTTTTGAACCCTAATTTAATTTAGATTAGTGTATAACATATAGTTTCGTGTGATGAATCTATGTATAAAACAGGGAGAAGGTGACAATACCGTCGACGAAACCATGCATAATAGTAGAAGGAGAGGGACAAAGAGTCACGACCATCGCGTATGATGGTCACGCAGCCATTGACGTCAGCTCCACTTTCACTTCCCATCCATCCCACATTGTCGTCCGACACATAACTATCATGGTACGTACGTAACGCAACTTCCCAATATAAATCTTTGACTATTTATATACTACAGTATTTCTTGACGTAACAATATACTATAATAAAGAGAATTTTTTATATATATGAGAAAATCATAATTTTGTATGTTTTGTGGCAGAACACGTATAATCGTTTGAGTATTGGAACAACACCAAACGGTATGAGCTCGGAGATAAAGCAGGCGGTAGCGGTTACGGTTTATGGCGATAAATCAGCGTTCTACAACTGCGATTTCCTGGGGTTACAAGACACACTTTGGGATGTTGAAGGCAGGCATCACTTTAAAGACTGTTACATAGAAGGTGCTATCGATTTCATTTTTGGCAGTGGCCAATCTATCTACGAGGTATGTATACCTAATTTCTCTCTAAAAATATACGCTTTAATTAGTTTTTGACTGCTAAAGTGCGGTTGCTACATACTATTGTTAGACCATCCACATTGGAGACCAAATGTGGATGTCTCTAAATAAAAAAAATATTAAAAACACACTTTCTCTTCCTTTTACTCAACTTTATACTTTCTCTTTCATCCTTTTACTCAACTTTTATTAATTTTATATTTAAACACACTCCAACTTTCATCAATTTTTTCTCCAACTTTGTCTTCCCCGAGACATCATTTCTCCAATAATACTCACTATCTCATCTCTTTACTCAAATTTTATTAATTTTATATTTCAATACACCCCATTATTTCAACCAAATACTTAATTTTTAATAATTTTATATTTAAAGACACATACAAAATGTCTCCAATGCGGATGCTCTTATAACGCGACCAAAGAAACTGCACTTTTTACTATTTACACAAGAATTTTCACAGAACAAACACACTTTAACAGTACTTTTATAACACCTTTTTGTATGGAGACACCTCACAAATCAGATGGAATATTAGCTACAGTGAAGTCGTTGTTATTATTATTTTTGTTTTAAAAATGAAACTTGAAAGTTGTACTACATAAGTTATCCTAATAAAAAAAGAAAAATACTTTGTCATCTGAAATGGTAGAAAAAAGTTACTTGAAAGTATATATGCTAGTAGTATAATGTTTTATTATACCATTTTCAATGACTATTTAATGATTATTTCTCTCTTTTGGACATGCACGTGAAAGATACAAATAAATATATAAATTGTTTGAGTACAGGACTGTCAGATAAACGCAACGGCCGGAGTATTGGCATCAAAATTGACGTCTGGGTACATAACGGCACAAGCAAGAAAGGGTGTTTTCGACCCAAGTGGGTTCGTGTTCCTACGTGGCAGTGTTTCAGGGAACCTCAAAGTCTATCTTGGACGAGCCTATGGTCCATTTAGCCGAGTCATTTTCATCCACACCAATCTCGGTTCGGTCGTTATCCCTGAGGGTTGGTACTCTTGGCATTTTGGAGGCCACGAGTAAGCAGATCGTCCTATTTTTTTGTTTGTTTATCATTCATTATATGTGATGATGAAATCTCATTAATCATATACTATTAATTTGATTATTATTTTTTTGGTTAGATGGAATTTCACGTATGCAGAAGTGGAGTGTAAAGGAGAGGGAGCTGATATTTCAGGAAGAGTTCCTTGGATTGACAAACTTCAATCTTTGACCACTAAACAACGATTCTCTACCTCTAATTTTATCGACCAAGATGGATGGATCTCCAATATTCCTCCTTTTTAGTTCACATCACTCTTGCTTTGTTGGTTTTTCTACTTAAAAAAATAAAATCTTGTTGATTGTGTTTGAGCTTTTTATTTCCTTGGATTATCTTATTATACATATATTGTGAAAACTGATTATAATTATTAGCAAAAACTGATTATAGTTTGGATGATGACTTTTAATGAAATACTATGAGTCTATGAATGTGACACAACAAAATCTCGGTGTGTTGAGAAAAAAATTGAGTTGGCTATGTTTTTGTAAACCGCACTTGAACCACACATCGATTTCAATTTTGGCTGATTTGGTTAGCCACGTGGCAATGCATAATTGGTTATAAGTAAACCTACGTGGCGTAATCTCCCTTACACAAACTCCTGTGTTCCTTTTTACCCACTTGAGCTCTGTCGCTCACCGGCGTGCTTCGCGACGAACCACCATAGATAAGG